GATCCATATAGGTTGCATAAACATATAAGAATTGTTATATGTTTCCATTGCTTATGAACTTGTGTTAGTATGCCTAAAACCTATCACATAATTCTCTAAGATGTTTACATGATGAGAACCTTTCATTGGTGTCAACAAGGTCAACTCGAATCAAATCTATCAACCCAACAAGTTCTTTAACCTCATAATCCAGGAAACTGAATAAAAGATCGATTGTGAGCGATTTTTCAATGAATTCCACCAAGAAATCGTCAGAATGGGTACATGTATTTCAAATAAGAGTTGAATATATATTCTTTACATTGTAATTTGTGAGTTTGCAGCCATAGTGGATCTATCCTATTTGCTTGATTGTTTATAATCTAGTGGTGGAAGGAGATGGAAGGTGGTTATGATGGTGATGGTAGGGGTGGAGTGGATGGTGGTTATGATGGTGATGGTGGGGGTGGTCGGGTGGGGTGGTTGATGGTGATGGTGGTTGAGATTGCCATATATTTATACACATTTTTAGCCAATATTTTAATACATTTTTATTAATATTTTGGTTATTTGCAAGGATTTATGATACTTATGGGATTGAATTGTATTTTGCAGCCAAAAAGAGCAATCTTGAAGACTATGGACCAAAAGCGACAAGTAGCGGAACTTTGGAGGTTTGAAGAACTAAAAGAAGGAAATCCCAGCGAAAAGCCCAACTCACGATGTGGACTTCTCTTACACGACATGGAATGGATTTTTCTAGAAGATAAGTGCACGGGAAGTCACAATCCTTGCTCGATAAGGATTCACCTTAATTCACGACGTGAAGGCTTAACTCACGACGTGAAGTGCAATAATTCCGAAAATTATATATATCCTTAGCACTTACGAATGCAAGAGTTCTGCTAGAGATTTGGGGGTTTTAGAGAGAGAATTCTGGAGAAAATAAGCCAGAGAATTCAAGTGTTAAGCATCCAAGGAAGATGAATTGATTGAAGAACAAGTGATTGATGATCATAACCTTTACTTTAAGTTGGTACATTTAACTATGTTCTTATTTATTGAAATTATGTGTGTGATTTCAGCCATGCGTAGCTGAATGTAGCTGCTTCTGTTTAGCTAGATGAAGCTTCAACTTATGGGTTAGTTTAATTGAATTATGGATTTTTAGTAGTTGGTTATGTGTTTGTGTTTGATTGTTAATACCTAGCATGCTAATATTTGATGCTTTTATTGCTTGAAATTCATGTTCTGTGTAGCTTAGTGACTATTAAATTACATAAAACTGGCACTTAGTAATTTAGTGAACATTGAATTGCTAGAGCTAGGATCGACCCAATCTTAGATAAGTAATTGAAGTAATTAAATTTAGCTGTGCTGGAGAACATATATTATGACCATAACTATGTTTAATAAATAAATCTTAGATAGCCCCATTCATAAATCATAACTGATTATGTGTTGATTGTGTGTGACCATGCATAGTTTTACATGAATTAGTTGAATATTAGTAAATTTGGACTTAAATTACTAATAATATAAAATTTGGTAACAAACTTTAATAATCCATAATTGTTAGCTAACCATAAAAGAGAAGTGGATTCGAACTAAACGAAAGTGTTTTAAATATTTGATTGAATAGTTGTTGAGTGATTAAGTTTGTCTGAACTTGCAAAATCAGATAAAAACCAATTAAACGATTGCTTAGAAATTTAGGTTAAATTAGTAGTAATTAGGTTAAATAATTAAATCTGTTCCCTGTGTTCGATACCCGATTGTTTGTGCTATACTATCTGCAAAAAGGTCCACTGCCTTTAGTCGAATAGTTAGTTAGATAGTTTGTAAAATTAGGTGTAGCAATATTCAGACACATCAAGTTTTTGGATGGTCGGTGGTGGGTTGTGGTGTTGGTGGAAGAAAAAAATCAAATGATTTTCCACAATGGATATTACGTGGCCCCTCCAAATATATATAAATCTGATTTAAAATGCCACATCCTAAGGTAACCGACTCTTCTCATATTATGTCATATAATTGTGTAATTGACAAGTAAAACTTAACTTTATTGGTCTATTGCGTAAAAAAATGGTCAATCTGGGACAACAACAAAACTTGATTATGCTACAATGTTAATTTCCCCTTTTCTTTCATTGGGAAGTTTGAAACTTACCTCAATGGGTCATTCGAATGTATTGAGAGCCCATCTTACCGATTTAGAGGCTACAAAAAGCTTCAACCAAATACTACTCAGAACCAACTTCTTAACATGACTATTAAGAGGTGAACCAAACAACCCCTTATACTTAAATCTAAATTTTCATCATACCACATAAATTATTTGTTTAATTTAAGAAAAACGGTAAACCGTATCATCTAAGCGACCCACATTAACACCCCCCCCCCCCCCCGACCGACACAAGAGGTCAATCGCATAACATTTGACCCAAGGGGGAGGTCAATCGATTCAGAGGATACAAAAAAATCCTCAAGCAAATGTTATTCAAAACCAACTTCTTAATGTGACCATTAATAAGTGAACCAAACAATCCCTTAGACTTAAAATCTATATTTTCATCATACCATATAAACTATTTGTTTAATTTAAGAAAAAAATGATAAACCATATCATATGAGCGGCCCACGTTAACCGGTCACAAGATCCACACGAGAGATCAATCGCAGAACACTAGACCCGCACAAGAGGTCAACCGAATCAGAGGCTACAAAAAAAGCCTCAATCAAATGCTACTTAGAACCATCTTCTTAATGTGACCCTTAAGAGGTGAACCAAATAACCCCTTAGACTTAAAATCTATATTTTTATCATACCACATAAACTATTTGTTTAATTTAAAAAATGGTAAATTGTATCAGCTAAGCGACCCATGTTGACCTGCCCTAAGACCTACATAGGAGGTCAATCGTAAAATAATAGTAATATTTCTTTAATTTCTCGAACATATAAAACTTATTTTACTATTTTACAAGCCCTTAGACTATCTCCAACACTACTTTATTTTTTCCTCTATTTTTATAATGAAAATAATGCTAAAAGTGATCATCTCAAACCACATTCTATTTTTTACACCAAAAAAATTTCCAAGTATATTCATTTTATCCAAATTGTTAAAAAAATTCATTAGTACCCCTTCATCACAAAGTTTTTACTAATTTGTCTAAAACCTATTTGTGACAATAACTTTAAAATTATATTATTTACAAAATTTATAACCAACGAAATAATTTGTATAATAATAATTCAAATTAATTATGATATTCTTAAACAAATATTTTATCAAATAAATAGTTTTATTTATAACACATTACAATAAATATACAATTCATAGAAATACTATACATATATTTGAAAAAATATTACACATTTGTTGGAATATCTTTACTACAAATGATCAATTAACACATTTTGTATATCCAAGTGAGTTTCTTTGTCTTTAATACATTTATACCTATCCACAAATTGTTGAAATCATATATCAAAATGAGTTTCTTTATTTTTGATGCGTTTATACTTAGCAACATTGAACAAGACATTCAAAATCGCTTACAAAACATTGCATCATTATATAATATTGGAGTCCATGTAAATTAATCATCATACAATCTACAATTTGGGCATTACTCGATCACGAACAATGAAAGATATGTGTGTATGTCAACATCTCAAATTTGAGCTTTACTCATTCATGAATAAAATATTACATCATTATATAATTTCTTCTAATTATATACTACCTCCGTTCCAAATTAATTGTCCATATTTGATTTTTTGAAGTCTTTATTCTTCAACTTTGACATTAAATATTTTTGTTTTTGATAGATAATATTTGATGGAAAATATATGAATGTATTGTATTTTAAATGTCTTTTCATTGTTATAAGTTTCATTAAGTAATATATATATATATAACACAAATAAAAATATTTAATGTCAAAGTTGAAAAAAAAATTTCAAAAGTCAAATGTGGACAATTAATTTGGAACGGAGAGAGTATGTTTTATTTGAAGTTTTATTAAATATGTTATCATGTTATAACTTATTAAAAATTTCTAAATTTTAAATACATTTGAAATAATTATCAAATTTAAAATATAACAGTAATTAAACAAACTCAAAATATAAGCTTGAAATCAGAATACATTAAATAAACTAGATATTTATGAACTCAAACTTAAGGACCAAATATGATAAGACCAATTAACTTTATCTATAAAGTTAATAAATAATGTAACTCCAAATTTGAAATTACATTATTCATTAACTCTAAAATTAATCTTTCAATTATATATATATATATATATATATATATATATATATATATATATATATATCTTATTTAATTTCTTCTAATTTTAAGTTTATATAATTTGAATTAGTTTAATTGTATTGTTATATTTTAAATGTGATAACTGTTTTAAGCATATTTATCATTTGAATTTTTAGATTTTTTTAATAATTTATAACATGTTAACATGTTTAACAAAAATTCAAATTGACATACACACATGAGTTCTTTCATTGGTCGTGATCAATTATGCGTAAATTGTAGATTGCATTATTACTATTTTTAGGGACTCCATTATATAACGATGTACTGCTTTGTTCTCAATTTTGAATGTCTCACTCAATATAACACATCAGAGAAAAAGAAACTTAATCCGAGATACGATTTCAACAATTTATTGTTCGGTATAAACGCATCAAAGACAAAGAAAGTCATTTGTTTTATTATATCACAACTAATTTGAATTATTTTTATACGGATTATTCTTTTGGTTACATATATTATTTAATAATATAAGTTTAAATTTACTGTAACAAAAAAGATTTATACAAATTTGAAAAAATCTTGTATTTTGAATGATATTGATGAAAATTAAAAAAAAATTAAAGAAAATATATTTGAATATTATTTTGGTATAAAAAAATAAGATGAAAAATAAAGTAAAGTTAAAAATTAATCCATTAGTTGGTCTTGTAACTCCAAAGTTAGAAAAGGAAACCACAAAAAAGGTAGAATTGCCTTTTGGAAACATCTAAAACCACTTGGATAAAAGACAATATCCAATAGGAGAAGAGTTTAGCGGATTAGTGGTCATTCAATCTCATCAGCTATGGCGCTTCTTTCCTCTCTACATTCTCAGTCCCTTCGTCCTCACATTACTCCCTCTTCAGCTGTTTTCTCTCACCTTACAAGTCTGTTTACACAAACTCTCTCCGTCTCCTCTTTAAACTTCATATTTTGCACAATTTCTTGTTATCTGTGTGTTATAATCCCGCAGGTTTTTACCTTTGATTTCTTCAGGATTCAAGAAATCCCATGATCAAAATACTGTTTTTTGCAAAACCAATCAACAAGATCAAGATTTACGGTAATTTCAGTCATTTGGCAATTGGCTCAACATGATGTAAATCCACAAAACCAAAATGTTAATCGATCCAAACGAACTATGTTTAATCGCATGCTACCTTCATTTGTGCACTTTCTATTCTTTTTCTAATAGTGTTTCAATTATTGTTCTTGGGTCCTTCGAAACCAGCCTAACTATTGAAGAACAATCTCTAAAAGTTCAAAGAAGAGATCTTTTGTTACACACTGTATTCGGCGCTTTGTCTGTACCTGCTATGGTTCCATTTGCATATGCAGAGGAAGGTAATAAATTCCCATTGAATATCCAATACATTTATCATATCAAAATTCATGAATACATAATTTTAAAATCATTAATTTATCATGGGAAATATTTATATACGCTTCTGCTAGTTGTGCCAGAGGGTTTCCAAATTTACTCCGATGACGTGAACAAATTCAAGATAACGATTCCTCAAGGTGAACATGATTCTATTCTTTATAGGAAATGGAAGGAAAAATTAAGAGGGTAAATTTGTAAAAAAGTCTGAAGTATTTTGAACTTGTAGATTGGCTAATAGGAGGAGGAGAAGGCAATGGATTCAAGTCTGTTACTGCATTCTACCCTTCAGAAGCTTCAAATTCAAATGGTATTTCTACATATAACATGTAATTTATTTCATTATTTATTTATTTAATCATTGCTTTTGAAAATCAGTTTAGTAGTTAATTTTAAGTTTCACTATGTTTATCTCAGTGAGTGTAGTGATCACTGGGCTTGGTGCTGATTTTACCAAGTTGGAATCTTTTGGCAAGGTCGATGCTTTTGCAGAGAACTTGGTATATTCATAATCTTGAATTTTATGAATTTTTTGTTGATAAAAATATAAAATAAAGTAATAAATAATAGGTTAGCGGATTGGACAGAAGTTGGCAGAAACCCCCTGGTGTTTCGGCTAAACTCATCGACAGCAAAGCCACTAAAGGTATACCCTTTCCATATTACTTGATAAATGAAATGATGTTTTATTAATTTATTTAATTTTGGGTATTTTCTTACATCTGAAAATTTTTGATATATATGCCAAAATTGGCCAGGAATGTATTACATAGAATACACACTTAAGAATCCAGGGGAAAGTGCAAGACATTTGATTTCTGTTCTTGGAATTGCGAATAATGGTTGGTATAATAGATTGTATACTCTCACTGGACAGGTTTGTGAAGCACTTATGATGATGACAAATGTTTATTTTTTTAAAATTATAATGGAAATCTGAACACCATGGTTTTATATTTCTTGCAGTATATAGATGATGAATCAGAGAAATACCGTTCAAAGATTGAAAAGGTATGATGAATTGATTTATATCTGTTGTCTTTTTGTGGCTCTGTTGACTCGGTTTAAAATGTTGATTTTGACTGATCTTAATGATGATACATGAGAACAAATAGAACCTTTCTGATGGATCTACATGCATATATGAAAAATGAAAATGTTAATCTGATTTATGGTTTCTAAGCTTTTTTACTAGTTTTCAATTCTTTAGGTCAACCTATTTCCATTCTTGGATCTTGATTTTGAGGCTGCAACCCAAAATGGGACTCCAAGAACTTGAAATCCATGTCAAATACTATATAAACATAAGGTTCTTGGGTTAAATTTTAGAAATGCATAAGCAAGTTGTAGCTTATAATACCCTTTTAGCCTCTTACTTTTATCACCCTTTTTTATTGCTAATATCTGCTTTATTCTCACCTCTCCCCCCTTTATTCATTGTCTATAGAAGCAGTCTTTCTATAGATCTTGTTGAATGATTAAAAACTTTTTGTGATTTTTGATTTTCATGTTTGCTTTCAGGCAGTTGCATCATTCAAATTAGTTTGATTTGTGTTGTTACAAAGCAAAATCAAAACAACTGTAGTTACACAAGCCAGGTGTGTTGCTTTGATATTTCCCTGACTTTCTCTATTAAGTCGGTTTTTTTTTTTTTCTGTATTAACTAAAAAAACACTCATATGTGTCATATGTTGCAGGAACTCAACAGTTCAAGTTGTGACATGATCAGAAGAATAAATTTCATATTCTGAGTTTTGTGAACAGTTCAGCTACACAAGTTTCTTCAATCTCAAATTATGTTGCATTACATCTACACTAATTGAAGCCCATGGCTTGATTTGTAAACCCTAATCACAAAATGGTGATGGAAATATAGAGGATAAAAAAAAATCAAGAACTATTGTAGAAACTACAAAGTAAAATCAAGATAATTCGGTTTTGACTTTTTGTTCCATATTTTCATTCCTATTTGTTCCATCATTTTTGTGAAACAAAATCGATAGCTGATCAGCAAACAGAAGATTCTGCATTTGTTGGAGTTGTTGCCATTCTTTCTCCATTTGTAATTCAAACTCCTCAAAACGAATAATCTTATCATGAATATCCTTAGCCTATAATAAAAACCCATAAACAAGAAATCATTTTAATCCCAAAAACTGAAAGTAAATTTCAATTTCAATCCAGTCGTTGAATTTTTATTTCAAATAAAAAAAATACCTGAACTTCAGCAATATCAGAAATTGTTTTTACCAAATCCTGTTCTTCCTTCTCCAGCTGTAATTTTGCCTCAAGATATTTTCCTTCCAATGAATTTGTGTTGCTCTTACCATTTGTTGTTACAGAATCTTTACCAAAAAGAAAACAATTATGATTCAGAGAGAATTTGGAGGTGTGTTTTTAAACACAACACATGGAAAAAGAAAGTTGATTTATAGTGCTAAAATATATATACTACCTTGATCTTTTGCATCATCAGCAGATGATTCAAGAATTTCTTTACTAGTTTCATAGTTGACTTCGGTCAAAGCCTTTACAGCTGCAGAAGCAGCTGCTTCTGCAACCTCTACTCCCGTTAATGTTGCAAGGAAAGCTGCCTAAAAAAATTTAAGTCCAAAAAGTCAAATTAAAATTGTAAACACTAAATTAAAGGGGTTTTCAGTATGTTTAAGAATTAAGATAACTGGATTTAATTTAAACATCTTTACCTGAGCTAGGATGGGGTTACTAGCATCATCAAATGGTGTGGGGCGCATCTTTTTGTTTGGATTAGGTTCATCATCAAAATGTTCTTCAGGGTCAATTGAATCAGGAGGCCCCACATATTGTTCTCCAAAAGGAAGCTTAATAAAACGATCTACACATTCTTTTTCACTTCTACCAACAACATGTTCAGACACCTTCTTCCAATCATCACCATAATGCATAACTGCTTCTAGAAGGTGCAAAGTTTCTTTCTCACTCCAATCTGTCTTCACCTCTTCACTAATCTCCACTCTTTTAAAATCTGCAGAGTTAACTCCAGCTCGAACATAACACCTTGCACAAAATGTTGTATCTTTCTGCAAAACAAAAAGAAAGTTGTAAAAATGTAAAATACTTTGTTAAAAGAATCATTCATAATTTGATTAAGGATTCAGGTTATACCTTAATGTTGGAAAAACATGCAATTGTGCAGAGGGAATTGCAACTACTGCAAAATTTCTTCTTCGGAACACCGGAATCAGGAACGGAATTGGTGATTCCGGCTCCCGGATCGGTGTTTTGCTGTGAAGAAGCGGAAACGTTTTTACTCTCTTTATCTTCCCATTTCAATTGAGCTTTTGTGATAGGTGAACCAAAGTAATTGATTAAACCCCATGTTTCCAAGAAATCAAAAACCTTTCTTACGGACCCCACGTCTCCTATAATGGTCTTTCGGGCTTCAGTGAATGTGATTTTTGGCATAGGGTTTTCTTTAGATGGAGGGGTTTCTTTCATACTGTCTCTAAACTTTTTGATTATTGCATTTCTGTAGTATTTATAAACTTTTGGGGTTTTAGAGGGTGATTTCCCATCAAAATATTCTGGGAGCATTCTAGTCTCACATTCATGAATGTTGTTCCAAGAGAACCACCCTAAACAAAGAGTACAAGTTAATAAGATGATGAAATAAATTACACCCATATAGAAAATCTCATGAAGAAGACAATAAAGTGAGCGGTTTTTAGCAGGTTAATTAGAATTTCAAATGAAGTGTACCCAAAACTAATTCCCTTTATAAAGAAGATTAGCAGTTTGATTTTGGAAGTCGAAATTAACTTGTTTGAAATCACGGGTCAAAATGCATATGCTTTTTCTATAATGAAGGAAGTGATAAATGACTTTTACTAAAAACTAACTGATAGAAAGAACCCTAATATTTGGGGGGAAACAACCCTAGCAACATCTCAATGTTGGTAATTCAAACTTTATCGAGCTTTCCAGCTATCGAACCTAAATAAATAAGCACCACAAAAAGACTACAACTTGAAACCCTAGATTTTATTTCTAGCAACCTTATTGTAATCACTACAGAAGCGATTGAAAAGAGAGTGAATCGTGTCGTGGGCTTACTGGAATAACTAGGGACGTGGATGACATCGGAGTCAGGTACGGAGTAAGGTTCACGCGGCCGTGAATTGACGGTGGCGGGAGTGGTTGTTTGCTTGGAATCGGTGGTGGGAATGGGAGGAGCGGAGGTGGGGTTGGGAGGAGTAACGGGATTTGGGGATGAATCGAGAGGTTGAAGCTTTTGATTTTCGGGTGTGGGGGTAGCTTCGGATGTGGGTTTGGGTGGTTGAGCTTGCGACTTCAACGGCGTTTCACCACCGCCGGAGCTTGTCGCCATTAGTATTCGAACGCCGATGCACGGGGGAGAAGGGGAGAGCGAGAGATGTGTTAACGGTTGAAAACGGGTAGTTCGATATTTACTGTTAGATATTTGATCTCGCCGTTAATAATTAGCTCATCGGTATTTTACCAAAGGAAATTCGAGTCTTTTGTCTCGAAATATATCTTTTTACAAGGAAAACGCTAGAGTAGGAAAAACATTTTTCACTTTTTTTTTAATAACTTTTTTGGGTTATTGATTTTAGGGGAAATTATGCAATACATATAAATTTTCAATTAGACGCCGATCATTTTTTTTTTTTATTTTTTAAACATATGGAACATTTGCATATGAACCTTTTTCTGTAAGTTACAGAGATAATTTTATAATTTAAACCGATCAATATATATGAAAGTCTTGTAATATGCTAGTCTTGTAATATGCTATTTAAGCATATGAATTATTTATGTAAAAAAAATGCACAAAGATATTTTTTCTAAATTACATGAATAATTTTTGTAATTTATTTTTCTAAATATGGATCAAACATGTCAACATATGAAAGTATTGCGGTCAAAATATAAAACCCAAACATGAAAAAATTGATAAAGATATTTTCTATAAATTATAGGGACAACTTTTATAATTTATGCTCTATGTATAAATCAAATCTATCAACATATGAAACTCGACCAAAATCTAAAAATTATGGCAGAAGTCTAAAAAGCAAAACTATATTATTTATATAAAGGTTGTTTTATTATATATATATATATATATATATATATATATATATATATATATATATAATAGTTACGTTAAATGTATTATTTTAAATTATCTTAAAATGGTAATTTTTATATTAAATTAATATAAAATATTATAATGTCATTTTTAAGTTTTAATTATTATTATTGTTAAAATACCAAATATAACTATTAATTTAATGTTATTTTTAAGTTTTAATTATTTTTATTGCCTGTTATTTTTAAATTTATTTACTTAGAAAGGTTTATAATTAGAAAATAACATAAATAATTTTGGGTACTTGTTTTAGTTAACTTGACATGACAATTTAGGTTTATAATTTGGGGAAAAAAAAGATTTTGTGCTTTTAAAGTTTAAGTTACATTTTGATTTGAGTTTCCTTTAACGTTATATTAAATTAACAAATTATTTATATTATATCAGTATTTCAACGGTTGTGATATTAAAATGATAATGTTTTAAGTATAATAACATATATAAAGTAATAAATTATATAAATTATGTTAAAAGGTAAAGAGTTAGGTACTAAAAATAAAATAATGAAGAAGTTTAATATATTAAAAGCCCAAATTAATATGTTTAATATAAATGATTTATTTTTGAAGCAAAAAAATTAACATCCATTTCATTTATCTAAAAAAATTGTACCTATATAAAAATAGGCAAATCGCAATAAAATCACTAAGTTAACCGAAAATTTCGATTTTGACATCATTTTTTTCTCTGAATTAATTTACTATATTTACAATTTTGTTGCAATATCAATCAAATGACCGGTTCTCCATATTCTCTCGCCAACAACTTTTCCTAAATTGCAATAAAGTCACTAAGTTTACCAAAATTTCGATTTTGACATCATCTTTTGTATTTCCTCAGTTATGTTATTACATTTATAATTTTGTTGTAATGTGAACCAATGGACCGGTTACCATTAATCTAACAGGTTACCAAATAAATGATATGTTATATTATGATGTGGAAGCCACGTCGGATCTTATGTGGCAAGACTGAGTTTCAAATATAGGGTTTGCATTAGGGGTGAGCATTTGGACCGAACCGGACCGGACCGGACCGGACCGGCGCTTGGACCGGACCGGTTATGGAGAATATCGTGGACCATGGACCGGACCGGATGAGTCGTGTCCGTGTCCGTGTCCGGGTCCGGGTCCAGGTCCGGGTTTTCCGGTTCTTGGACCCGTTTGGACCGGTACAACTTTAATTGCATAGAGTACAAGTCGTTAAAATAAGTTTTTAGGTTTGATACGATACAACTTGTAAAAATGATTATGTTTCCGTTTCATGCATAACTAATCTACCTTGATGTTATAATATTATAAGTTGCAAAATTAATTTTCCAAATAAAATCAACTAACATATAAATCAAGTTCACCAAGATCCCTTTCATATGATTTATCTATCAAAGATACATAAAATTCAGAATTATAGTATAAAATGATAGTTAAAAAGTTGAAATATTTCAGCTTTGATAGCTCAACTTTGAATGATTGTAACTCACTGAATATAATATCAAAATCAACAAAATTATAGTCTAAATTTATCTACAAACTGTAAACTAAATGTTGGAAAAAACCTCAGGTCAATCCGACTTAAAACGAATGAGTTATGGTTGTTTAAAAAGTTTCACAGATTACAAAATTTTAAAAAACTTGCTGAAAAGCTGAAAATTTTCAGCTTTGATAGCTCAACTTTGAAAGACTATAACTCATTGAATATAATACCAAAATCAACAAAATTATAGTCTAAATTCATCTACAAACTGTAAATTAAACGTTGGAAAAAACCGCGTGTCAATCCGACTTAAAATGAATGAGTTATGGTTGTTTAACAATTTTCACAGATTATAAAATTTTAAAAATGTTGCTGAAAAGCTGAAAATTTTCAGCTTTGATAGCTCAACTTTGAAAGTCTGTAACTCATTGAATACTATACCAAAATAAACAAAACTATAGTCTAAATTCATCTACAAACTGTAAGTTAAACGTTGGAAAAAACTGCGTGTCAATCCGAGTTAAAACGAATGAGTTATGGTTGTTTAAAAATTTTCACAAATTACAATTTTTTTTTAAATCGGGTCCAACCGGTTCTAAACCCGGTAAAAACCGAACTGGACCGGGAAAAAAACCGGACCGGACCGCGATGGATTCCTAGAACCGAGAACCGGCCCGGGGGTCCAAAAAAACGGTCCGGTCCGGTCCACCGGTCCAAATGCTCACCCCTAGTTTGCATTGAACCCAATTTCACATATATTCTTCTCTTCTTCTCGTTAGAGTATTTCTTCACAAGTGGTGTCTAAAGGTCGAACCAATGGTTCAAACTCGCTTTAAAGTCAGCCAAAATGCATACTCACCCTTTTGGGAGATGATATTGTGGTTTAGAAGCTCAATATGTACAACAAGTAAATGAAGACCTATACACGGTCGATCCACGAGATGCTTAGTGAGCTTGAACCACTAGATCAACTTTGTAGGGGTCTTCATTTACTTGTACGAATCGAGCTTCTAAACCACAATAACATCTCATGAAAGGGTGAATATGCCCTTTTTCGTTGACTTGTAATTGAGTTTAAACCATTAGACTGACTTTCAAACACCATTTTGTGAACAAATACTCTAACGAGAAGTGTAGAAGAAAATAAGAAGATATGTGGAAATATGGGATTTCTATGTTACATAAAACATAAAAATAACACACTAGTTGTAGGTACATGCAAGCTAGAGATCTATGACATTTTCTTATTATAGCAACATACTATGAACAAACCGATCTAACCTACTAATATGAAAGAACAAATCAGATTAGTAACATAACTTTTATTATAATTGAATATACTAAGTCCTTTGATCTTTAATAGCCCATGGAAAACAAGTGCCAATAATATGAACACCTCTAATGACTCACTCCCAATACCTTAGAACCCTAGAAATCGAAAGGATAGAGGAAAGATGATGAGAAATTCGTATTTTACCTCGTGTGAGGTAAAAGCCACGAAATTATGATGCCAAGGGGTCATATTTATAGCTAGTGGATCTCTAGAATAAACCCTGATTTGAATAATTAAATATTCAGATTTAATCTATTATAGACAATTATCCTTATTAACTATCAACAGGCTTCCAGAAACCTTAAAATCCATCCAAAAACCGTCCATACCATGGAGGGTTCTAGAATTCCCTTCCTTGCTCAATTATTAAATAATTAAAATTCAATACTTATACCTTTAATTAATTCCAACTAATCCCAAATTAATTCCATATTAATTCTGATTAATAATTAATTCCAACTATTTCTACTTCTAGAATGTTTAATTATATTCGAATCTCCACAGTCGGTCACACTCTAGGAAGTGAGTGAGTGATTTAAGATTGTCATGAGTTTTGGTTGATTGGCCAAGGTATTTTAGACATTGCAATAGAGTTTGTGTGACATCCCGAAATTTAGGTCTAGAACTGTAGACAATCAATTCACCATGAACCTCTTTGTAACCTGGTCTATTGAGCTTTAATGTATATTTTGAAAGATATGCAGTGTCATTACAATTAAAATAAGATATCATATGATATCTTACTTCCAATTGTGGGAAATCTCAAACGAAACATGCAACACAAATTGTAACCCTAATTAATACGTCTGAAAAACTAAAAATGCATATTAAGCAGTTGTGAGGAAACCAAACACTCTAGTCTCGTAGTACATGTTCTCCTGAGTCCGGAAATATAAAGAATGTCCAAAACGGAGTTCGTATGCAAAACATACGACCGTTATAAGAAAACAAACCAGTATAATATTGATTTTCTTCAAACTGCATAAACCGTTTTGAACCGTTGAGGCACTTGCACACATTAGATGGAAATTCTGAGAACTCTTTTGGACTCAAGTTATGGTGTATTATTTAATTCCATGCTCGAAATATTTTTAGTAAAAATATTTGTAAAAGTCAAAAAATTGGACGTTTTGGGTCAATTAAACGTGAATCTTTAAACCCGATTTCCCAGAGTTCTACAGCTCGAAAATGTAACGCTCTGTTTTAGATCGTTTCCATTTCGAGGTGGTGATCAATGATTGGGTATTAGCAGGCTTAGGATCCTTGAATAAGTTAGTTTTGAGACTCATTCGGAGGTGGATGATATATAGTGGATGATTTGAGTATTCGGTTTGTGTTTTGGAGTTAAAGGGTATTTCGGTAATTTTTCAGCTCGGGCTTCTATGGAAAGGGATGTTCGTTCGGGATATGATAAGGCGACTATGATTTGATTGAAGGGTAGAGCTTCTAGTCAACTTTTTATGGATATAAGGATCGTCAGAATCGAGTTTATAACCAAGGAGTTATGGTCTTCAGAGTATTTAGGGTTA